TCGTCCTCCTCCCCGGCAGGACTGTCCAAGACGGCGGAGTTTGTGATCTCTAAGGTCGATGATCTGATGAACTGGGCCCGCCGTGGCTCCATCTGGCCCATGACCTTTGGATTGGCCTGCTGCGCCGTGGAGATGATGCACACGGGGGCTGCTCGCTACGATTTGGATCGGTTTGGAATCATTTTTAGGCCTAGTCCACGCCAGTCTGATTGTATGATTGTTGCCGGAACTCTTACTAACAAGATGGCTCCTGCTCTCCGCAAGTAAGTCTTACATTTGATTTACCTTTTTATTTTTTATTTGTTTCTTACATACGTATAGGCTTACATATATTCTATTCATATATTTTTTTGGGTTTTGGATCACTTGTCATTGTTGAATTTGCTTATTTAGGGTTTTGATAAATTGCTTTGACATTGTGCGTTGTATCATCAAATTAGGCTTTTGATAGTTGAGTTGATTACTCGTGTATATTTTGTATAAACTGTTAGTGATTTGGTATGGGAAATTTGGAATGCTGAATTGATAGGTTTCAAGGCATTGTCTTGACGAATTAAGGGTTCCTAATTGTTAAGTGTCTTAGGGTTGGTGAGGTTTCTGAATTTTTGTTTGCAGTTTAATTGACTGAAGGTGCATTCTGCCCTGGTGTTATTCTGCCAATTATAGTAAGAAGAAAAATTCCCTGCAGTTTAATATAAAATGTATGCAGTTAAGTGATTTGGTATTAGAATGCTAAAATTAATATGTTTCAAGGCATAATCTTGAGGGATTAAGGCTGATTAATTGTTAATTGCCTTTTGGTGGTGTGGCTTCTGGATTTTTCTTTGCGTGCTTCATCTTAACTGAAGGTATGCTCGGCCATGATGTTATTTAACCTCCACAGTTTAATAGAAAATATATACAATTACACCCATTGTGGAAAATCAATACTGGTGGGAAAAACATGTTATTTTAATGCCGTGAATCTTCAGCGATGTTAAGCAGTAGCAGTGCATTTGAAGAGTTATTCACATTATATGGTGCATACTGTTCAAGGATGTAGCCATGGGAGGACAAATGCCACAAGAACCCATCCCTGACTTCCTAGATCAATCTCTTCAGTAGGACTGCTACTGTATTGTTATATAGCCTTCTAGACTAATATTTGCAGTTCAAGATGTATACTCACACAGGCCTCCTGTAACATTTACCTTTCTACAGTTCTTAACCCGTGTCTTCCCATGAGCACCAAGCCACCAATCATCTCTTCTTCTTCTTTTTTTTCCTATTCACATAGTAGCATGCAAGACCCAACTCAGCTTGGTACAACTTTAATCACTTTCTGTTTAAGAATACAAGGTGCCTCACATCTTTTAGTAATATTTTTAATGAGGGTAGAGAAAATATTTGAATAATCTACGTAAGCATCTGTGAAAGCAAGTCTTTTGGTTGTTATTCTGGTAATTTTAATGGATACCTGTTAAAAATATAACCATGTGATCATTCAAAAATGCCTACAGAATCAATAAGAGACCTGCATATAATTGATTATTTTTGCTTATCAAAGTGATAAATAGGCCGAGATAACTATTTGCACTGAGACTGGAAATAATCCTACTTAGTAACTAAGTGAATTTAACTTTGAGAAACGTAGTAAAATTTTATTTGGATTGTTTACTCCATATACTCAATTCTTATTCTAATGACAATTTTTATTATCTTACAAACATTATTAGTTATTGAATTATCCCGCAATTATATGAGATGCAAAGAAGGTAGAACTTTACCTTGTGATTCAAACCTTCACTTTCCCCTGCATTTGTTATTAGTTCATTGCAACTCTGAACCATGTTTCATTGCTTCTTTAGGTTTTCCCAAGTAATTTTTCTATATTCTTATATCTTGATATGATACTTCTGCCACCCCACCCCCGCAATGGCCTCTTGGTGTAGAAGAAGCTTTTAGACGAGTTGCGTCTTCCAATGAAGTACGAGTTGATGCAATATTCAACCTTCCAATTCATATTCAGTCACAATGCCTTTACTTCTTAAAGATCATTTTTAAGTTGCTAAAATGGTAGTTGCAGCAATACATTATCTTGTAGAAGTCGATGGACATGTAGTGTGCTGATGTTGGCTTGATATAATTTCTCTCACTCTTTCTTCCTCTGAAGGGGGTTTCGTTGATATTATCCAGGGATAAGTAGACCTGAAGTAATGTTCCAACATTTATGAAATCAATTCTCTCAACCTTTCTTTGATATGTGGTCCTTGCTACAAATGCTGGCTTTGGCGGTTACTTAATGGAAGTTTCTATTTCCCTAATGGAGGATTGTAGGTTAATTGGTATCCTTTCTGGTTGGCTTTTGCAATGATTGAGCCTCCATATGTAAAACTAGTCTAAGCCTGGAATTCCTTGTCATTCCAGGTATTAATGAAATTGCAAACATGATGCAAGTTTTTGGATTAAAGACTTGGGAAATAGACAGGATGCAGAATAATAATATTTTCAGGGGAAATAATTAGAGTTCAACTTTTGCCTTCTACTCGATTAAACTGTGCTAGTATTCTGCATAGAACCATTGGAAGGCACCTTTTACCCAGTAAACTATCCTGGACTAATGACATAGGCGATATAATCATATGACTTCATGCTTTATGAAGACCTTCCTGTCGATGAAACGTAATCCAACAGGGCAACACACTTGCGTGTTGTGGGAATTTTATTTTTTGCTTTCATCACTTTGACTATATGCTGGTATGGGTCGTTCTGATTTCATTTCGAGTACCTAGTTCAAAATGAATGGTTAAACGTGTCAAAATTATCTTACAGGGTGTATGATCAAATGCCTGAGCCAAGGTGGGTGATATCTATGGGAAGCTGTGCAAACGGTGGTGGCTACTACCACTATTCATATTCTGTCGTCCGAGGTTGTGACAGGATCGTCCCAGTCGACATTTATGTTCCTGGTTGCCCACCTACCGCTGAGGCGCTTCTTTATGGGCTTCTCCAGCTGCAGAAGAGGATTAACAGGCGCAAGGATTTCCTCCATTGGTGGACCAAGTGAAGACAGTTACTGCTTTTGGCTGCATGTTTGTGGGAAATAAATTACGCTATGATAGTTTTGCCCTGGCCTCCTGAATAATTCAGACTATTTCGTGTGTGAACCTGTATTATGTTCTTGTATTTTAACAGCTAGTGTTGTCACTGGATTCTACTTGTGGATTTTATTTTTTATATGAATTTCTTGAGAATTATCGGTATTTGGATGCCATTTTTTTATTGTTTCAATCGGTTTCTTGAAGAATAACTTTCTTGTGAAGAAAGGGAAAATATACCGTGGACAGAAGTAGGACATGATTTGGAGTTGTTAAAGATGTGTTTTGATACAAATTATTCGAAAAATATTATTTTACAAACTCATTTTCAACAACGCATTCTTTTTGTGGGCCTATACTTTTTCATGCATTGTTTTTTACTTCATATAATTTCTTCCAAACAAACACCAACACCAGCTACGCTTTAAAGGTGCTTCAATTCGCCATGCTTAAAAATTCCAATATACCTTAAATTCTCTTGCCACAACTACCCATTAGAACTTTTATGTATGAACGATTTGCAAATGATTCTTCTTCTTCTTAAATACATTTCTTGACACTTTTGGCCCATATTTGGTAGGAATTAATCTAAATCAAAGTTAAAAATTTATTTTAATAACATATTTTATGGGTCCTTCAACTTTTTAGTTGTACTTTTCATCAACTTCTATAAAAACTATTAAAAATCTAGTTTTAATATCTACCAAATAGGGGCTCACTGGCTCACAATGCATGACTTGAAAAATATCTAGAAAAGATAAAAAAATTCAAAACGGAAAATTTATAAACTAAAAAAAGCCAATTTAAGAGAGTGGTTTTCTTTTTGAAGAAATTATATAATTCATTATTTCATTCATTATCTTGTCAAGTTAAGAAACCCTTTTATTTAAATAAATAAATAAATAAAATTAATAATAATAAACTGGTAAATAATTTTATATAATAGTAATAAAAAGAAATTATTTTAAAAAATGAAAAAATGAAAAAGAAACTAGTGGGGTTAGTCTGTCTAGGATTTTTGCGAATTAATTGTTCCAATAGTCATTGAACTTAGGCCCATATTTTTTATTGGTAACTAAAATTTCAAATGTTGAGTTTTGATCACTAAACTTAGTTCATGTTTTCGATTGCTCAATGAAATTTAAAATGTTGAGTTTTAGCCATTGAACTTTAAAAAATACTGTACGTACACTAGCATAAATGTATAACTTTGAAAAATATCCAGCTCCTAGTGCTCAAGGAGGCTATGTTCAACCTGGCTATCCTCATTCTCAACCTCCACTTACGCAAATGGGTTATTCTCAAACTGATTCTGGCATACAGCGGCCACCATTATATGGTCCTCCAACCTATGGTGCACCACAATCGACTCAACCTAGCTATGAGCAACAACAGGCACAACTATAAAACAATTCTTACGCTAGTGGGTATTCCCAAACTTCAGCTGACCCAGTTGATGGCTCGACGGGTGGTAGTAGGGATGACAATTTGAACCGTTAAAATCGAAAACCACGGTTAACCGAACCGAATGGGATGAAAAAAATCGAACCGATGGTACAGTGGGACGGATATGATTTTGATTTTAATGAACGAGTTCGTGGTGGTGCGGGTATGGTATTTACGCTGTCGAACTGAAACGGAGCCGATTACCCTCTAAAAAAAAGAACAAAAAAAAAAACACACACACACACACACACAATTGAATTGATTATTGGGCTTTTACACTAATTTTCTATCCAGACAAAAAAAAAATCCTTCTATTACATCTATCTGACTCAGCCGGCCAACCTACTTACTATTAGCCTATAATAATAGCATTAGTATAACAGTATATAAATGCAAACCCTACTCTCTACAAACCACAAACTCAAGCACAGCTCCACTGTATCCATGGTCCAAGTCATTATCGCTTCCGAAAATTTGTTACATTTATTAGTCATTCTATTACTGCTGATCATGTAAAAATAAAGTTCGATATTTTTCTAGACATGCCAGTATTGTCAAGGATGGACGGTTTTGATTTATTGAAATGGTGGAAAGCAAAATCAATAAAATATCCGACTTTACAGAAGGTTGCAAGAGATTTATTAGCCATTCCAGTATTTACTATGGCATCCGAGTCAGCGTTTAGTATAAGTGGTAGATTTGTGAGTCCATATAAAAATAGGCTTCACCAGAAGAATTTAAAAGCTTTCATGTGTGCTTGGGATTAGCTTTGGACTGATACTCATGGTAAGATTTATTGTTTTATATTTGTTATTTGTACACTTCCTTTTATTGTTAATTTTTTTCTATTGTTTGTAAAAAAATTATATTCATTCATCATACTCTAGAGTTTGTGCAATGTTTAACGAGAAGGAAGCTGACGAAAGGTACATTTTTTTTTATTTTAATCTTAGTTAAGATCATTCTAGAATAGGTAGTATCGTTGTATTCTCTACTTACATTTCTTATTTATTATATAGGAATCAACTTTGAATGCTGATCTATGCTAGTAAGACTTGTAAGGGAGAATGAATCAAGTAACCTCGACGCACAATAATTAAGAATGCAGGAAAAGTTTAGTATTATTATATATATAATATTGTTTGTTAAATTTGTATTTTGCAATTAAAAATTGGGATAATGTTTGCATTTTCGTTTGAATTATTGTGTTTTTATTTTTTGACTTTTTTCATAAATTGTTTTATATCAATTTAATGGATGAACTTATAAAAAATAATTTATTTTCGCGGTTATTAACAGAACCGAACCGTGCCGAACCGAACCGATTTACGTGGTTATGATGCGATTATGGTGTGATCAAAAAATTGGTGATGCGGTTATGATTTTGGTTGAACCGACCCATAACTTAACCGTTGCCAACCCTAGGTGGTAGTGCAACTGTAAGTTATGATGCAACACCTAGGGCAAGTTTTGTGATTGTTGGGGCCTGAGGCGAAGTCCGTAAATTGGGACCCCAGCAAGACCAACGTAAATGCAAAATTCTACGGTATATTATGCGACTCATTGCTAACTTCAAAAACTAACATTAAAACAACAACCACATATATTATAGAAAAAATTTATATTATAAACTAATAAAACAACAATGTTTCAAATAATTAGTTAAATACTATTCACCTCGCTATTATAGAGGCAAAAATATCAATCAAATCTGAATAATTTAGCTGCTTAACCATTTCTTTCTCTATTGATAACATAGTCAACCCGTTTAATCTTTCTTGTGACATAGTTGATCGGAGATATGTCTTGATCAACTTCAATTTCGAGAAACCTTTTTCTATAGATGTAACTGTAACCGGTATGATTAACAAAATTTTGTAAGCAATATAAGCATTTGAGAAATAAACATTCAATCTCTTCAAATATTGTAGCACTTCAATTGCTCTTGTTGCTTCACTTTGTAAATAACACCTCAAGACTTGTAACTTCGAACATAAATCATCTCCATTGATGTTCAAACACCCATCATGTTCAAGATATTTATCAAGATTCATACAAGAGTTCAACAAATTTGAAAAAGTTGCACCCCTTATCCTCTTCAAATTAAACAAAAATCCAAATATGTCATTATATTGTTTGAATTGTTCAAATCGAGTCCTCATAGAAGATATAGCTTGATCAATTATAAAACCAAAGTACTCAACTCTAAAAGATTCTCCTCCTGATTGCTTTACCTCATTACTATCGTTTTCATCAAATTACTTTTTTCTTCGAATTATGCATTTTCGGTAAATATAGCTTCAATTCCCATTTCACTTGCCTTTTTTGTCGCTTCATTCATGGCAATAGCAAATCCAATTTCTATATAATCTTCAAGAAATGAAACAAGTCATTGCAAGAAGTCGATAGCATGATCAATGTCCATGGATTGCTTGAAGAAATTTACTCACATTATTGATAGCATGCAACAACCTATACCAGATTACAATGCCAAGCAAGAACTCAATATTCTGAAGTTCATGTATTGCTAACGACTCGACTTCACTTTTCACTTTGGGATCTTTGTTACTTTCTGCCAAATCAAGTAATGCATCTCTTATCTATGCAGTTTGCTCCATTATAGGCTTCACACTCTCAACATGACTTTTCCAACGTGTTTGTGACAATGGCTTCACTGTCAACCGTTATACATTATCTTTGAAAATTTTCCATCGTTTGGTAGAAAAGGAAAACAATGTGTAGATGCGTTGTATCACTCCGAAGAAGGATACAGTTTTGAAACTACAATTTACCATATCACATAATGCTAGTTTAGATTTGAGCCCCACATGGAGTATAGAAAGCTCGAGGATTCATTCCATGTACTCTTCTTTGCACATCTTTGTGCTTCCCGCTCATGTTAGATCCGTCGTCATACACTTGCCCTCTAATTTTATCAATATCCAGATCGAGTTTGATCAAAGCCTTTTGAAGCTCAGTTGCAAGTCCAAGTCTTGTTATGTCATCTACCTTCAAAAATTCAAGTCAATGTTCTTCAAATGTAGGTAAGTTTGCTGAATCATCTATAAATCGTACAATTAAAGACATTTACTCCTCATGATTTGCATCTGGAATACAATCAAATATAACTGCAAAATAATTTTCATGTTCAACTTTCTTAACAATTGAACTTCTCACTTCATTAGCCAACAATTGTATCAACTCATTTTGGATTTTTTTACCAAGATACGTATATTGAATCTCTCTTGCTTTAGCCCGCCAAATGTGCATTATTGGATCAAATTCATTAACCATTTCCACCATTTGTAAAAATAGGCCATTGTTTTGAACATGTAGCCTCTCATCATCTTCTAAAAATGGCAAGGTATTTTTCGTGAGTTATTTCACAATAACGATTATCCTTGTTAATACATGTCTCCAATGTTCTCCTTCTACATCGATCAACAATTCAACATTTTATCAATTGTAGTTTTTGTTCGAAGCCAATTTTCCAATTTACAGTTAGTCATGCAACGTAAATGCTCTTCATTTCTTTCATGACTTTTAATAGACCGATGCAAATTATGTCAATCTTTGAATCCATCATTATCTAGTTAGCCAACTTTGATCACATTTATTGGTGTTTTGAACAACTTGCAACAAAAGCAGAAGATTCTGTCCATAGACACTGAATATACTAGCCATCTTCTATCAACTATTTGCCCATTTGGTAGCAATCGCTTATATTGTGAAGAATCGATATGTCTATTTCTATAGTCTTTCGGAAACAAGATGTCATCAACTCCTCTTAGACCCTTTTCACGTAGTCCCTTATTCTTTTATCAATGATTTTACAATTCCCGGGATCATCCAAATTTAGAGAAAAGTAACCATCTTCTTCCTTATCATCTTCCTCTTATTAGAGACGGTTTCTTCACTTCTTCTTCCTTATCATCTACTTCATTAACATAGGCAGCTTGACTCACTTCTTCATCCTTATCATCTACTTCATTAACATAGGCAGGTTGAATCTCTACTTCATCCTCATTCAACGTATTCACATTGTTACTTTTGAAGTACTTGTCAATATTCCCTGCTTGACTTTGAATTAATGTAATTTTATTTCGTTTCATTTTCCTCTTTTGAGCACCAAACTCATATTTAGAAGGCAAAGTATATGAGTCTATATCTAATGTCCAATGATTAACCTAAAAAATAATTATAAAATATCTCAATCATCTCATAATTACAGTTTTCAATATAGTTACTACGTGCGCATGTGCAATTATTCATCATACAATAACCAATCATATAAGTCGACGAAACTGCAATTATATAAGTCGACAAAGTTTCAAACATTTTCAATCTTTTCAATAACAAGTTAGGATCAATCATTGCTTACCTGAGAAGTGGAATTTCAATGAAAATTGTGAAATTACACCCTTGAAAATGATCCTTTCACAACTTACGAGCTTGAAATAAAAATTTATATAAAATTATGATACTTTAACTTATACGTTATCAAATTTAAGTAAAATTAAATAAAATTAACAAAAAAAAATGTTCTCATAAATTATCAGCTAACAAATATTCATTGAATGTTGGACACAAAACAAATTTAATTCAGCCAAAACAGTATTCTCATCTCATCGTCTGTAATATTTTTTTAAACTTACTAACTTCATCTTTACAAATAGCTTTTATTTCACATAAAAATCTTTAAAATCCTAGCAATGCATATCCCTGCTGTTCTTCCCCATCCTGCAAGAGCAACCAATAGGAAAATAAAATTTCAAAACCAGAAGAAAGTTCTACTCACACTACATTTTTTCCATAATAAAAATGATATATTTTATCGAATAATCAAATGAATGGTTATACTCACACTACATTTTTCCATAAATACACCATATTTTTTTAATTATACTAGTAGTAAATGTGTCACACATCTTATGTATTGCTGAATGATATACGTACTATTTTTGAATTACTAGTACCATTTTTTAAAAATAATACAGGTAATTGATATTGTTAAAGGGAAAATTACAATTGCGTGTATGTGTGTATAAGTTTTTATGAAATTATGTATATAATGTAAAAATTTTGAATAAACTAAAATCTAATGATATAATTACAATAATACTTCTTTCTACACAATTTATTATTATTATTATTATTATTATTATTATTATTATTATTAGTGATCAAATGTCCCAATTAATATATTAATGCAACCCTTAGCACATTTGTTACCTCATTAACACATTAATGCAATCTTTCGATTTTGTAACCTCAATTAAATAATAACATAATGGATGAATTATAATGTAAATCATGAAGATTAATAAGGGCTTTATTGATGAAAAATAAAAATTGCTTTGTTAATGAAAAATAAAAACTCAATGGATGAATTATAATGTAAATCATGAATATTAATAAGAGTTTTGTTGATGAAAAATAAAAAAATTGCTTTGTTAATGGAAAATAAAAATTGTAAGAACAAAATACTCAATTAAATTATAAGTCACTAAATTTTCGTTGATTTTTTTTTTAATTGAACGTTGGTTTTACTCCTTATATTAATTCCAACCCAAATGATAAATATCAATCAAATATTTCACCACTTAAATTAATTCTAAATCAAATGATAAATATTATTTAAATTGGTAATAAGGGCTTTATTGATGAAAATTAAAAATTGTAAAGGAAAAAAATCAATTGAATGTTAGGCATTGAATTTTCGTGTGTAATTTATTTTTTATTCATTGAATGTCCTCATTAATATATTAATGGGACTTTTAAAATATTTGTAACATCAATTAAATAATAACTTAATGGATGGATTATAATGTAAAGCATGAAGATTAAAAAATGATCTGTTGATAAAAAAAAATAAAAACTCATTACATTAATTATAGTGTAAACCTTGAAAATTAATAAGGGTTTTGTTGATGAAAAATAAAACTAATTTGTTGGTGAAAAATAAAAATTGTAAAAGCAAAATGGTCAATTGAATAGTAAGTCACTGATTTTGTTTTTTGTTTTGTTTTTGTTTTTGCTTTTTTTTTTTTTTTTTTTTTTTTTTTT